GGGGCCGGGCCTTGTCGACTGGGGCACCAGGAAACAGGGTAGCAGCTAAATGGCCTTGCAGGTAGAAGGCAGAAGCCCAGTCATAGAAGCAGGACCCACGGCTAATGGGTTGGGAAGATGGTGTCGGACCCGAGTGTCAGCCACATGCTCACCAAAGCCAGTTGCCTCGGGGTCCAGGGAGCTGCCCCAGTCTGGAAAGGGTCTGACGGTGTGGATGTAGGGAGCGGTGGGGGTTGTGGCTCACTGGAAAGGGAGCACCTTCTCCAGAGGCACTCCAGTCGTAAAACTGTTTAAATGGCAATGCTGCTAGAGTCCCCTGACCTGGAGGGAGGAGACGTCTAGAGGCTAGGAACCCAGGAGAAGCTGAGTCATCCTGCCCAAGATGGGCTGCCTGGACAAGGGGAACAGGTGATCTCATACACGCAGTGTATTTTGGTTGTGTTCAGCCTTTAGGTATCCCTTTGCTGACCACAGTAACTTGTGCTTTCTTAACTCTGCCCTCTCCATCCTTTGACCTATATCTTGGCAGTCACCTAACTTCAGAATCCAGGTCATTCTGTGTCCAGGTTATAATCAACTTAGGTGTTTTTCATGTGATTCTCACTTGGTGTATGATTCAAAAAGTACCCCTGGGAAACCTGGACATAGCCAATTATCCTTAAAGTCCCCTGTTAGTGTTTGCCTTTAAAAGTTCATGGTTTGCATGCTACTTCAGTTTTTTGAGACAAGGTCTTACTCTATCCCCCAGGCTAGAGTGCTGTGACATCAGCCTAGCTCACAGCAACCTCAAACTCCTGGGCTCAAGCAATCCTTCTGCCTCAGCCTCTTGAGTAACTGGGACTACAGGCATGTGCCACCACACCCAGCTAATTTTTCTAATTTTTTGTAGAGATAGTGTCTTACTAGGTTGCCCAGGCTGGTCTCAAACACCTGGCCTCAAGTGATCCTCTTGCCTCAGCCTCCCAAAGTGCTGGGATTACAGGCATGAACCACTGCACAGGCCTTGCATGCTACTTTTAATATAAAACAATTTTCCTCTATGTTTGAAGAAAATTAATACTCTTGATGCACCAGTTTTCTTGTGACTTGCCTAGCTCTAGAACAGAACCTCATGTTCCCAGTGGCATGTGCAGTCTCTTTGGGATTTGGCCACCCAAGTGTCCAGGCCTACCAACCACCACCTTCTCAGGCTAGGTTTAAGCAATATTGAACTACCTGCTTCTATCATAAACCAGTCGTTTTGTAAATGCTATTTATTTCCTCTGCTTGCTTTTCCCAGTGCCTCATAGAGTGACTGAATATATATTTTGAACAATGAATAAATATTTTCAGGTTTTAATCCATCAAGATTTCCTGGTATGAGACCTCTCCTATGTATGACTGGTATAATATCAGTATCAAAACAAACAGCACCTTCTGTGAAGTATTAAACATGGGGTTTAATAAGAATATCCCACTTTACTAAGGACAAAGAGTTTACAGTTTATAGCCGACCCTGGGCATTGTCACTCCTCACAGGAAAGATCTCGTGAAGGAAATATCAGTCATTGGATGCTCATGATCCCATTCTGCAAAACAGTGGGTTTTTATTGTTTTGTTTTTAGCCTCTCTTGGATGGAGCCCAAACAAAGCCTTCATGAAGCAGCAACATTACTGGGAGGTGTGGGGAGGCCCCTGGGAATGGCCACTTAGGGCCTGACAACAAACTCACCATACACGGACACGCAAGCTGCTCAGCGAGATTCTCCTCTGGCTCCGATTACCAAGACGGGCTCTGTGCCCCAGGAATTTACTCTATTTAAAAGGTACTCCTCAAACAGAAACAGCCACACCTGACTGTTAACCCTGTGACTGAGAGAAGAGCCTTCCGCTGGGCCTGCAGGCCAGCACGTGGCATCCAAACTGCCCATTCTAACTTGCCTCCCTGTGACCCCCGGGCAGGAGCTCGCTGTGGGAGCAAGGCTGAGGCCACACACGCTGAGGGACAGACTAGGGCTGGGGGTCCCTCCTAGCCTCCCTCTGCCCACATGGGAACAGGTGAGCTCTCTGCAGGAGCATGGAGCCCAGCGCCTGGCACTGTGACGGTCCTGTGCTATCTCACAAGGCCGGGGACCTAAAACCCCCTGCACGGGAGTAAGCTTGTCTGTTGGAAAGGGCGTGCAGTGGCCCATAGAGGCAGAATCCCAGGACTGAAAACCGAGGGCAATTTCCTCTACTCTGCAAAGGAGAGGCAAGCCTTCTCCCGCCCCAGTGCCTGGGCTGTGTGCCAACACGGCCATGACAGAGTGACCACAGCAAAATGACACAGCCCCAACACGGAGGGCCTGACACCCTTTGTCCAGCTCTGTCTGGCTCAGGGCATTGTCTCTGCAAAGATCTTCTCTTTACTTGTGCCCCAGCTAAAGTGATGGGATGGTGGCCTCTACCCGGCAGCCACGAGGGATTTGGCAGCTCCATCCTTAAGGTGGCCAGAACGCGTTCCTTAAGAGCAGCCCAGAGCACCGATCTCAAGTCTTAACCTGTAAGAAAAGTCTTGGAGTATTATTTACGTTTCTAAATTCAAGGGAAGCTAAAAAGAAAAACATCACCGTGACTTGCAGAAGTGGATCATCAGCACACAACTACTAATGTGTCCTCTTCGTGAGAATCTTTCACGTCAGGACATAACATGGGTGAGGGCTGGCGATAAATTATAAGCTCCTTGTTTATCCTACAGAGAGAGAAAGCACACTGACAACAAAATGAGTAGATCTATTTTAAGCAAGTGTCAGGAATTTACCTTCAGCTCACTCTTACATGATTAAAGAGCACACCATATAAAACCAATTCCCAAAGAAAGACGCCCTGCTTCTGCAATAGCCATCACCCCAAAGACCCACGTAAGGCAGCTCACAGGCTGCTGCTCTGACTCACTAATCCAGGGGTCCTCAAACGTTTTAAACAGGGGGCCAGTTCACTGTCCCTCAGACCATTGGAGGGCCGGACCATAGTTTAAAAAAAAAAAAACTATCAACAAATTCCTATGCACACTGCATATATCTTATTTTGAAGTAAAAAAAACAAACAGCCAAAAGCACCAGCATGTGGCCTGAGGGCTGCAGTTTGAGGACGCCTGCACTAATCCTTTCTCTACTTAGAAAAGATAAAGTTATTTTAATACTCAATCTCTAAGGTTGTATCTATTCTTAGTAACCACATTGCAAAACTGCATGGCGGTAACTTTATCGGGAAAGAATCCCTATATATACAATTAGAATAATGTGTTCTATTTGAAGGCAAATTTCAGAGTAATCTTTTTACTTTTCAGACAGGCATTCTATCTTTCCTCATGCATTTGTTAAACTGGACCCAGGCATTACAGTCTTAATACATGATCCACAATGCCATTCTATTAAAAGAAAAAAAAAAAGATACCTAGAATTTGGGCCAAAATATAAGCATGGTGAGTAAACTGTAATACATTCACTGATAAAATTTCATGCATATTCTAAAACTGTTTTTAAAACTATAATAATATGACACACTTAAGTTATAGAGTTACATAGGAAGAATATACTCTGGCGACAACTACTCTGTAAAACAGAGAAACATGCAGAAGCTCTTGTAACTCCAGTGCTCCGGGCTCCCACCCTGGGAGGAGGCCAAGGGAGCTGCCACAGGAGACAGCGGCTTCCGTGGCCGAGGCTTCCCCAGTGTAGACAGCTGGCTGCACTGAGCCCTCCTGCTGTGACAGGGGGAGCCCGGCTGACGCGCAGCCCTGATCCCTGGCGGGCCACACTGGAAAGCAGCCGCCCCCACACACGGATGCTGTCGTCCCCCAGGACTCCTCGGCTCCCTCCCACGTGTAATTCTGAGAGCGTATGTTCCCCTTTGCCCAGTAAGCTATCACCTAGAATGTGCATTATAAATTAATTGATAAAAGAGTTGCAAAGGATTAGGTGATTTCAGGTATTCTCTGAGTACTGTATTTTAATAAAACTCTTGCATTACATTTTAAAATGTATCCGCGAGGATAAACGCACCCGTGGTGATGTGATTCCGCCACTATCCATTTCAAAATTAGACGATCAACCTCTTTTAAAAGACTTAAAAGAATTAAGTATTTTCTATCATTTCTTATGCTCCTTGCTTTCGTATAAATGCTATTTCCATTCACTACTGCATCAGAATTATACGAACATATATTTACACGTAATTTTATAATTGAGCATTCTATCATACTTCTCTACAACAAAAACATGTACATAAACATTTACATTTAATTTTTTCCTCAGATTTTGTTTGAATTATCTGTAGAAACATCAGTAATAGTAGCATAAAATTGATCAAACATTATAGTCATATATTTCGATCAATATCAAACATAACGTTGAAACTGTACTGGCAACCAACCTCACAACACGTGATTGAAGGCGGCACTGCCCGTGTTTCGGTTGTGCCTTTGTGAGAGACGACCCGTGACTCGGGCCAAGGCCCGCACAGGGGGGCAGTCCCATAAGAGTGCGTGTGGGAACGAAGGGTCTGCAAGTTGATTCCCTTAAATTAGAAACCCACGCATTGAGTTTTATTCTTTAACCTAAACTTAAATTGTTTTCACTTGGAAACGTTGATTGCCAATCATACCTACCCCTCTACGGGTGCTTGCAAGCGGACGGCGGGATGGCTGAGCCCAGAGGCTGCCCTCCTGGCTGCTCCAGCCGGGGCCGTTGCTCACCTCCGCACCTGCCTTTCTTTCTGAGCATCCCTCTAACGGGAGGGGGCACGCGGCCCTGGCCCTCCTAAGGACCAAGGAGAGCCATGGCTGGGCCACTGGCACAAACTCGTTCCAGGTGAGGCAGTTCAAGCTGTCCTCGGTTGTCACTTAGGCTGGATGTACGTGTGTGAGGCCCTGGGGTCAGACCTGACACGCGGGAAAGTGCGAGCCATCTACATCCACCTTCCACTCTCCTCTGATTCTTGCAAACGGGAGCACAGTGCCCCTCCCGGAGCCCAGCTCTCACCTCCCGTTGAGCACGCTCCTCTTCTCCAGCCCACTGGGCAGGACCACGGTGACGGCCACGGCGCCGTCCCTCAGCGCTTCCTTCGTGTGGCTCAGGTTCCGCGGCAGGGTGAGGGCCTCCTCTCGGGGAGGCTTCTGCTCACTGTCTCCGTTTGGAGTGGCGGGCTTTCCAGGAGGCGGGGGAGCCCGGGCCTTCATCCTCCTCCTTCAAAGCGACAACACAGAAGCACGGAATGAAGCGGCAGTTTTCATACTTTCCTCATCATATTCATTCTTATATGCATTTATGTCCCTCTTCAGAAATGCCTTCTGAGTTGCACGGCCTCTTTAAAACCGGTACATCAGCACTTGTTAATGCCGACGGATGCAATATCCCCTCGAAACAAGTAAAAACTAAACAAGTTAGAAATGACAGAGGGAGCATTTTTGAAAGGAAGCACCACTGGGAAGAAACACCCTAAAAACGTGCCCGCCACCTCAGAGCAGCACAGCCTGTCTTCCCCAGGTCCCCACCATGGCGAAGGTGGGGGCAGCACGGTCTGCGTGGCCAGCCCAGTGGACGGCACATCACAGCGGATCGGTCCCCCGCAGTGAATGCGGTGAACTCCACCTCGGGTCTGGCCTGCTCCGGTTTAAATCCTGCCCAGCTCTGGGCCCAGCACCAGTTCTGAGGACCTGGATCCATGCGTCCAGGATACGTGCTGTCACAAAGTCCATCAGGCCAACACCGATCCACACAGCCACCGTGACGGATGCAGATGTTTGGCAGGGAAAGGACACAGTGATGGCAAAGGGTAATGCACGGCCCTTTCATCTTTGTTTGCACTTTATTTCAGACTGGCTTGGAATGTCCAATTCGCCTTGTGGGAGATTTCTAAATACCTGACAATGAGCTGCATGCTCTGACGGACACTTTCACATTCTCGTTTCCTCCAGATCGGTCCAGGAACACAACTTTATATAGATATTTTATTTATTTATTTTATTTATTTGTTTATTTATTTTTTGAGACAGAGTCTCACTCTGTTGCCCAGGCTAGAGTGCTGTGGGGTCAGCCTAGCTCACAGCAACCTCAAACTCCTGGGCTCAGGTGATCCTCCTACCTCAGGTTCCTGAGTAGCTGAGACTACAGCCATGCGCCACCATGTCTAGCTAATATATATAGAATACACACACACACACACACACATACATACTTTAGATGTCCTGCTAATTTCTTTCTATTTTTTTAAGAGACGGCGTCTCGCTCTTGCTCAGGCTGGTCTTGAACTCCTGAGCTCAAACAATCCGCCTGCCTCAGCCTTCCAGAGTGCTAGGATTACAAGCGTGAGCCACCACGCCCTGCTAGTATTTTATTTTATATGTAGGATATTTATGTATGCATGTATATATGTACTTACTTACATATAAGGACCTTATTTTATACAGACCCTGGGTATTTTATTATAATGATAGTATTTCGTCAACACTCAACACTCACTAGGACCTATGCTAATAATAACCTTATCAAGTTCACTTCATTCAGTACTCAAAATATTCTGCAGCTGAGAAAACTGAGTCTCACTGCAGCTGACCAAAGGCATACAGTTAATCCGCGTCTGGGAGCAGGTGGAAATAGACCGGCTGATTCCAGAGGGCTCGCTCCGCCCACCTGCCTCCCCGACCTACAACCACACTCTAGTCAGAGGATCCAAAAGGAGGCAACGTGAGCCCTCAACACACTTTAAACTCTGTTGCAGAGCAATCTTCTTGGAGACATTTTGGCATGAGGTATCTGAGATACAGGAATTCTATTTCTAGAATTTTATCCTGAAGAAATAATCCTACAAAACTGCATTGTGGGAGGTTCAAAGACACTCATCTCAACATAATTTCTCATAGAAAATAAATAAATAAATAAATAACCTAACTATACATCAATAAAAGACAATGTCAATAAATTATGGTACAAGTTATATTGGCACTTGTTAAATATGCTTTAAAAGCATATAGTTTGATGGGCAAAAATGTTCAATACAGACTTTTTTAAAAAACAAACTTTAAAACATTAGTTGTTTAGGAAAATTCCATTTTAAAAAGAGGTCTACGTTATAGCAATAGATCATAAAACTGTCTAGAAAGATACAGGAAAGAACTAGAAACAATGACCTCTTGGTGATAAATGGCATGACATATGTTTCGCTATTTTTACTTCTATACATTTCCTATTTTTTCTATAATATCACCTGTATGTGTATTACTTATAAAATGAAAAATGTCATTTAAAAATGGAAAAAAAGAATAAAAGTCATTCAGGTGGGGCTGTAAACCTACTGATGCTCAAGTCACTGGTTAATACAAGACTTTGGAATAAGATTCAGGTCTCATGCTCTGCTATGATAAGCAGGTATAAATTCTTTCTTGTTTAAAGTTTTACATTTATATTATAATAATTGTATGCTACATTCTTATCCATTATATACTTTCCTTTCAATTTACAGAATTAAAAAGTAGTCAACATACATGGTACTATTTTAAGGGGTATTTATTAATCCATTTTTTCCTCAGTATACCTCTCTGAGGGGTACTATTGTTATTCCTATGTCGCAGATAAGGAACATGGGCACCCCTTCCAGTATTACAGACAGGAGAGCCAACATAGAACTCAGGACAACTTGGTTCCAGAGCCTGAAAAAATTAAAAGAACCACATTATTCAGCCTCTTTAGGAAGAATAGAGGTCACCCCATTTTAGAGATGGAAAAACCAAGACAGACAGCAACAGGCTATGGAGTTTTTTTATTAACCAACCTTTGGTCCAGGGCTAGAAGCTTAATCTCTGACAGCCCATGTGCCATTAGCATTACCTCCCAAAGGTGCTTTCAGAATAAAACAAAATGTGTTTATTTTACAGTTTTTAGAACATTTCCCAACTGAGCTGGCTTGAACTCCTTCAGAACACACTGAGTCCAACAGGAAGCAGCTACTGATACTTTTATTTACTCAGCCAGCCCATGACAGAAGCAAGAGGCTGGAGAGAGGCAGAAGAGGTTCTGACTGCTCCTCACTTACCCCAAATAAAGCCCCTGTCCCCAACTCCCAGAGCCATCTTTGTGATGTCATTTCATCCACCCTTGTCTCCCCATGTCCACTGTCAGCACCCTGGTCCAAACCCTCTCGCCATGGCATACACAAGGGTCTACGCCATGGTATACACAGGGCCGCCAAGCAAAGCTCTCTTCCTACAAGCTGGCACAGCACCCTCTCCATCGACTCTGTTGCCCACTTGCATTCCTTCTCCCGCAGTACTGCTGAGAGGTGCCTGGAGGGTGTTCCTCGGCTCACACGCCTGGAAGAGCCCCCTGGCTGCGGCCTCAGCTGCAGCCCAGCACAGTGCTGTGTGCACATGTGCATATGCATATGCTAACTTAGCCAACGTTTAAAACACTGGAACATGTTGCACTAGCAAAAGAAATGTTTAGCTCATTTTGGAAAAAAATAAAAAAAAAGATTTGATAAGGCCCTGACCACCTTCACAGTGAAAAATGGCTGTGCACTTCCATTTGGATCCATTGACCACTGCACTTGTTGGCTCAATGACATCACACATCTGTCCCATGGGGCTGTAAAGTGACACCCAAACCTCAAAAGAGCACAAAAGTCTCCCATGACCCTTGGTCTTGAAGCACTCCTCAATCTCCTCCACTCCTCTGGCCATGGATCGATAGTTCACTGTTTCTGGAGAACCTGCCCAGCCCCACCCGCTTGCCCCATGGTACTCTCTGCCTTACACGCTTAGCTCTCGAAGACACAGCTCAAAACAGTGTCTTCTGAGAACCCATCTCTGGGGACTCTGGTCCTGAGCACACAGGTGCCAAGATCAGGGCAATCTATCCTGGCTGCACCACGTCTGCAAGCCTTTGGGAGCGTCCGAAATGCCCATGTCCCGCCACAGACCAGTGAAACCTGAATATCTGAGAGTCAGTTTATGTTAATAGATTGTAACATTTCTTCAAAACAGCAGCCCCTTTTAAACATTAAAACAGTCTAGGACTGTACATGCAATTTTGTATCATTTGACAAAAGTAATTGCTATACTATCTAAATCTATATTTAATATATGTTGATTAATTTGAGTTTGTGCTTTTACCTCACAGAATGACAAGTGCATATTTGGGGAAGAACACATGAAATATTTTCATGACAAAAACAATGCCTGAGGTGGTGGATCAAGGACCCTCTTTGGTAGCTGTCTGTCTGTGAGTGCAGGGATTCCAGGTTGAGCAAACTGCCCGACACCGCTCTGGACACTGGACACCTGTGCCCACCCCTCCCTCCCATTATTATTAAGCTTTTTATGTAGCAAGGTAGGCTCCTCACTTCCTCAATATCTGCCATCTCTGGAAGGCAGCAAATACTATATTACAGCTGGGCGTATTCTCAATACGTAGCATAACGCAGTTCATATTAATAGGTCCGGTCATCCACGGCATTAACGATGTCAGTCAAGGACAGACCACATACACGACAGTGGGCTGCTAAGATAAAAGTACCATATTTTTACTGTACCTTTTCTATGCTTAGGTATGTTCAGAGACACAGATACTTACACTGTGTCACGGCTGTCGACAGTACTCGGCACAGTCACGTGCGTGCAGGTGTGTAGCCTGGGAGCGACAGGCCACACCACACAGCACAGGTGTGCAGGAGGCTCCCCACTACCTAGCTTTGTGTGAGCGCGCTCTGTGATGTTCACCCAACCACAAAATCGCCTAACGATGCACTTCCTATAAATATGCTCATCACTAAGCGATGCATGGCGACTTACAAATGCTGACTGACGATGGTATTGACACAGCTGAAAATTATGTGCGGTTCCTGCCTACAGGAAACATCGTGGACTTATGAAAACTTGAGACAGGAATGAAAGAGAGATGGCAGAATAAAAATGTTTCCAATGAGCAAAACTTTCAGAGGAAGAAGGAATATGAGTAGACCTCAGTGGCAGGGCGTCCACTCCAGGAGGCGGCCTTGAGCAGTCTAAAGAATGAGCAGAAATCAAGAGATATTAGAGAAAAAACAAAGGGAGGGGAGAAAGGAGAAGAAGCCACAGATGGAAAAAGTAAAAAAGGTAAAATACGCCACCGGAGCAGAGGCTGAAACCAGACTCGTGAGCTGAGCACACCTGACGTACACAAACCCGGGTGCTGGGGATTTTCCAAACACA